ACACACACACACACACACACACACACACACACACACACACACACACACTCCTCCCCCCCAACTTCAGTTGAAAAGCAGCTGGCAATGTAGTAGGATGCCCATGGAACAATGGGATTGAGAAACCTGCATCATCTGACCCTGTGCCTGCCCCATGAGGCATTGCAAACTCTTCCCAAAGTACCCTGCGGTCAGTTGCACAGTGGGATAGCTACCACAATGCACTGCTGTCTTTGCCGTTGCAAAAGCTGCTAATGTGGATGCGCTCCAGCGTCACAAGGAGCACAGTGTGGATACACAACAGTGGTTTAATTCCAGTGTTTTAGTAAAAGTGGTATAACTTGTGGTGGAGAAACTTGCCAGTATAGACATACCCTTAGGCACAATTACTGCACTTTGATGCAAACTTGGTAACTTTACATGCAAACAGCTAGTTACATGTTTGCACATAGTTATTCAAATTAAACACTTTGGGCATTTAAAATTCCAGAAGATACCAGACAATCTGATGGAACAATGAGATGCCAAACTCCATGTGTGCATGCAGCACACTTTTTTTATTATTATTGTTTTTAAACATCCGAACAGATTGCATTTTCCAGGAGCATGAACATGCTTACATGTTCCGAGTGATTTTCTCAAACCACTAAACACATTTATACACTCAAATTTCAAAATTAAATAAAAATTTGCAAAAATTACCAATCTCCAGCCCAAAGTTAATGTTTTAGGCATTAAGGAATCTTGAAAAATGGTGCTCAGAAAAGATTTTAACTAAAAGCTTCACAGAGAACAACCATTAGGACCTTCCACATAAGCTTAATATCAGACTCCAGTAAATTTAAAACAAAAAAAGGAAACTTCACTAAATCACCACGTACTCATTCTCTCCACTTCCCTCTTTCCACTAACATTCTCATTGCCCTGATATTTGTGCACAAACAGCAGTTTCTCCTGTTTAATCAGTCGGCTTCTCCTGCCAGTCTTAGGCCTGGCCTACATTAGGATTTTACATCCACACCCGAGAGATGTAGCTAAACCGACCTAACCCCTAGTGTACATGGCACAAGGTCGAATGAAGAATTCTTCTGTTGACCTACCTACTACCTCGTGGGGAAGTGCATTACCTACCATCAGTGGAAACAGTGTCTACACTGAAGTGTGACAACAGCACTGCTGTAGTGTTTTAAGCATAGACATACCTTAGGGCTGGTCTACACTGGGGGGCGGGGGGGATCGATACAAGATACGCAACTTCAGCTATGCAAATAGCGTAGCTGAAGTCGAAGTATCTTGGATCGAATTACCTGGGGTCCAGACGGCGTGGGATCGACGGTCGCGGCTCCCCCGTTGACTGCGCTACCGCCGCTCGCTCTGGCGGAGTTCCCGAGTCGACCGTGAGCGCGTTCGGGGATCGATATATCGCGTCTTAACGAGACGCGATATATCGATCCCGGATAAATCGATTGCTACCCGCCGATACGGCAGGTATTGAAGACGTACCCTTAGAGTCATCACAATTCACTCTGTCATCACTTTCAAAGAGATCTAAGCTAACTGGAAAAAGGAACGCCTCTTCTGGAAGAAGCATGTCCCATCCACACAGATAGTTATACCAATATAACTATAATGGTATAGTTCCGCTGGTAATTTTCTACATGTAGATAAACTTTTTGTCACATCACAATCACTTCCACGGTGTTTAATGCTGATGTTACAAATACTGAATCAAGTACTCCATAAAATAGGAGAATGAGGATAAGCTGAAACGAAACAGCTTCAGTTTATGCACTTATTTTGTTAATTTGAAATAATGAAACCAGGAAAAAACAAAGGAAACGGGAAACTTAAAATATAGTCAATATAAAAAAAATGTATTTTCAGGTACTATATATGTCTGAGGCCCTGTAAAACCATAAAAATTGGCACAACTGCATTCACCTTCTCTCTTTTAAATGTTTCTCTCTCCTGTGTCACTTTGTGAAAGACCCATACAAACTGGAGATATCAACAAGCTAGCTGAATATAGAGGGAAACAGTGAAACTGGACTACTACACCAAGTGCTGTCAAATTCACAAAACAAACAAGTAGATGCATTTTTTTCTTTAATCTCATTTATCACAATCTCCGGTTTAATTTCTGTAAGAGGGGAGCTTTGAAAAATATTGGGCTCCTGGCTACACATAAATTATGACTTGACTTTCACCAATATGGACTCCAGCAGGAGTTTAGCCTGAATAAGACATGCTTAATAGGGCACATGGTATTTTAGGATGATCTAGCTGTATTTCTTTTGCAGACAAATGGTATTTGTTTGTTAAATATATGGGCAATGTTGTGTGATAACTTGTTGTTCTTCATCACTCCCCTGGATATGCTAATCAAGGGAACACTTCTCAACCCTTCTGAGAATGAAAAATACCTTAGGTGGTGCTGATGGAAGCAGTGGTGCAGATCAACATGACAGACAGTAATTGCTTTACAAGTATATCTGAATGCTAGCTCACCCATTCACTCACCCACGCATATATGCCATGAAATATTCTTTTCACTGCGGTAAGATGAAAACCTTTTGAAAAAAAGCTCTTAAAAAGATTTAAAAATGTGTTTATACAGGTATATGACTTGCAGGGAAAATGGCTAAATTGTGCTTCAATTAAAATAGAGCAGCACAAGTAACTCTCAGCTAAGGTCCTGTGGATAAGTGTATAGGATTCTGTATCTTAATTTGTTTTAAATTTATTATTTATCAGGGTAGGCTGCATCTGTCCATGGGCAACTGAGAATATTTGTCAAGCCAGAGTGATGTACTGTAGTCTAACAAAATTTTTACCGTTCCAAAATACAATTGTAATAGGAAACAATTTAAAACAAAAGTGATGGTCTATTACTGTAAGCAAACCAAGTAAGCAACATAACATTTGTTATACTTACAGAGGTTAAAGCTTCTACGTTGGCACCAGTGAGACAGAGGTACCTGACAACATCAAGGATTCCATTATTTGCTGCCAGATGTAAAGGTGTTCGTCCATACTAAGAGGGGGAGAAAAAATAAGTTAACTTTCTGTTGATGATGCGCAAAGAGCCTGACTTTCAGATATGTTTATTCTATGCTAGAGACGCACCTGGCTACTGTATACATGTACCTACACAATTAAGGACTGGAAAAAAATTAGAGTATAAAATTAATCAAATTAACCTAAGTTTAAAAATTGAGCACAACTAATTTAAAGTCTGATTTAATCAAAAATAAGATTTGAATATGGGACACTTCATTAAATAAGTCAGATCTACAACATTTATGTGAAATGCCCTAAAATTTTCACTGGTGAATGAGGATTTCTCTCTGACTCCCAGAAACATTAAACAGCAGTTTGAATAGCTAAATATCGACTGTTCCTGCAACATTGGCTCCATAAGCTTGGCAGCTGTGGATTCTCCTCCACAGTCACATATTGATGAAAGTGAACAAAAGAGGAGGGGAGTTAAGGAGATGCCTGCTCTGCAAGCCCAAAAGGTCACCGCTCCCTGAGAATGCCAGTGACAGAAAACTTCTACAGGCAAGAATATTAAGGAATAGGGTAACAGTACTTGTAAACCTGCAAGAGAGCAGAGTACGCTGAGGAGCACTGTGAACCAAAACTTTTCTGAAAACACTAAAAAGACTAGAGCAGATGGGTGGTGGAAGTGGAAGACAGGAGAGAGTTTGAAAATTAGAAAATGAATGGATGAAGTAAGGACATGGAAGCAAAAGAGTCTAGATAGTAATTTAGGATCTAGAATATACAGGGACGATCTTTAAGAATATAGAAATATGGGATTTACTAATAAGAGTGGTACCATTCTGCTGTCAGGAGGACAACGACTGCTGAATGAAATCATTGTCATCCTGACCACCGCAGTCTGCTAGCTTGTCTTCTCTCATCTTTACCTTCTACAGTATTAAATTATTATTTTGTAAGAGTCTCACACTCCCATGTCTTAGTTGTTCCTGATTCTCTCTCACTAATGCGGTGGTCCTCGTATCATCCACTTCCTATCTCTTTCCTGTTCATATCAATAGACCTGTCTTTGCAACATTTTCTGTTTGTATCTCCTCTCTGCATCGACTTGTGTGTCATCTTTCTCTCTTCTATAATTTCTCTGCTGTGACCTTAAATGCTTCCTTCTCAGAAGTAAACATTTTTTCTCTTTTATTGTAGTAATAGGATTCCAGGATTATGACTTTTAAAGTCTCTAACATAGTAAAAAATATTAACTGGAAAGATCTCTCCCCTCCGCCCCCAAATATATCAATATGAAGCACATGTCAGCAAGTCAGCATCTTGCATTTATACTGGTAGATGTCATTTGTGGACACAAGATAAATGCTTCATTAAGTTAACTGGTTCACATAGTAGGGCTTGTTTTTCAAGATAATGGCACTATCTCCGTATGCTATATGAAGAGAGCTCTTCTCTTCTAAAGACCTGGAATCCAAAGTCCATTCCACTCGCACAGTCTACTACAGCTTTAAAGAGTAACAAGACAAAAATCCTTAACCATATGTGGAAGGTTTCCTGGTCCATTTACTTTTAGGTGTTTATTTTTTTCCACCTTATTTCTCTGAGGCCAGCCAAAGATTCTCAGTCATGAAAAGAGGTGCTAATCCAGCCTTGGGCTGTATTAACCCACCTTCCCAAAAATGTGTTCTCAACCATGGATCTGCATTTAATTGCCTGATCAGTCACGCTTAAGCTAACACTAGGGGGTGGAGAGCTCATTATAATAAGCTTTCCACTTGGCAACTGCTGATCTTTAGATTTTAAAAAAATATTGATTGCACTGGGCCAGACTTTTAAGCCCAAAATCCACCACCTTCCATAGCTTTGTGCAGCACAGAAGATCACAGAGCTTTTGTAATGAATGGAAACAATTAGCAATATTGTATTACAAGAATACTTTTATGTTTTTCTAAGAACTATAACACCTTTTAAAATAAATGAATCACAAAGGACAGCATAAAGACCTCTACAATTAATTGTTTTAAACTTAGTGGGATATAAAAACCGCATGATATTGCAGTATTCTCCCACCTTTGCATAATTAGACATTCAAAGCAAAATACCAAGCACTAGCCACACAGTATGTCAGCAAAGTCTAATGGCTGACATTAAAGCTTTACAAACTAGCAACAGGAAAAATTCTGGAAGCGGGTTACTGTTATTTAACGATCCTAGGCAGAAAGCTAAAATACTAAACCTGTTAAGAATTATATTTAGTTTTCATACACGGCATTCAGCTCTATTGCAATGAGAGGGGCCAACAAAGCACTAGTAACTTGACTATCTGAGACACAACACTATTGCAGGAGAAGGGATAGCTCAGTGGTTTTAGCATTGGCCTGCTAAACCCAGGGTCGTGAGTTCAATCCTTGAGGGGTCCATTTAGGGAACTGGGGTAAAAATCTATCTGGGGATTGGGTCCTGCTTTGAGCAGGGGGTTGGACTAGATGAGGGTTTTTTAATATATAGAAGTACTCATTAACAGTTCTATAAGTAAATCATAATTATTAATAATCATCTTTATTACTTAATTTAATACTCCTTTAGACTACCAACAGAATATGAAGTATACAGCATTCCATCCACTCCCTGTTGCCTAAACATCATCTGCAAGAAGTAAAGCCATACTACCAGACAAACTAGTTGGCAAGTATATTAACATTAGGACAGAACAGAAAAGTTTACTGATGTAACTAATTCAGTTTGTCTTTCTGCATGGATTTTCAATTATTATCTCAACTGCTCTAAAGTTAACCACAGCTCTACCTTTTTAAGTTCTTGAAAATGTTTTCTATTTGCACTTTGAAAAATAAAAGGATTTTTATACAATAATTGTTATAAATTAAGAGAAGCTCAGCCACCCAAAAAGGTAAGATATTTAACAGAGAAGTTCTGTACCAGCACTGCTTTTTGTTTACCTTATTTGTAACATCCAAATTACAACTTGCTTCACAGAGTGCTATCACAATAGGGACATTCCCATCTTTGCAGGCCACATGCATAGGGGTGTTACCATGTCTGTCTTGGAAATCTACAAAACATCCCTGACCGATGAGAGTTTTAACTACTTCCATTTGACATCTTCTCACTGCAAGATGCAGGGCTATGTGTCCATCCTGAAATCACAAGACAACTGGTCAGTCACATTCAAAAAAAATCTGACCATTATGAAGTGATTTATACAAATTCAAGTATTTTTCCACAGATGTGTGGTAATTTAATTATGGTAGTGTGTATTGTCCTGCCTTTTGGATCACAAGCCATAACAATTTTGTTTTCCCAGCACAAGTCTATTTCAAAACAAATCAACAGTTTTCCCTGAAAGTGGTACCGTGGCTAAGACATACTAGTGCAAGTGTTTGTTGCCAGAAGGTGGCCAATGCAAAAGTCACACAATCTGCTTAGAGAATGGTAGCTTCTGAGTGGAGCAGCTCCTTCTTTATCTGAAACAACTTGGGAGTGGGAGGGTAGCAGGACTCAAAAGTGATTCCATTTAATTCTCTTATAAGCAAAATGTTTTATCAGTGGCACGCAGCAGACCTTTGAGATCAGCACTGTTTAAATGCAATAGAAACTCCAGAAATAATAACAACAACTACCATGACCAGTATGCTAATATAAACAATGAAACTCAAGATTTCTTCAATACCAGTCATGAGAGGAAAAAATAATTCTGAATTAGTGCGACTGTTAAAAAGCTGTAGTTTAGACTGTTGGAAAACAAATGATTTATTCTCTTGATCTGACACACAGGTATTGAAGGCAAGTGATAAACCCATTGCCTTTTGTCCTTTAAAAATGAATAGCTTATTGCCAGTTACAAGAGTCAATATTTCAGTTATTTTCTGTATAAAGAATGTGTGTCAGCCATAAAGTGTGATGGACAGATAAACAGATTTAATAAGGTGGTATTACATGAATACAGACATAATAATGGAATGGTTATTTCCAATATGAATGAACAAATCAGTCAGCAACTTTTAGAAGCAGCCATCAATTTTCTCTTTATAATCCATTAGAGAGCTTATATTTTAAAAAAGAATAATGGCTTGAAGCAGTCAAATGAAGTATTTTAAAGAAAGTAATTTAGAGGTATAAATAGTCCTGTATCACTCACGTCCTCTGCATATAATTCCTGACTAAATGTGACTCATTCACCCGTAACTAACCTTGTCTGTTGCATCAAGGTCAGCTCCGTGTTCTGCCAAGCATTCCACAATATCATGGTAACCTCTAGCTGATGCTGTCAGGAGTGGAGTTTCCCCTTCTTTGTTTTTAATGTTCACATTACAACCAGCCTCACAAAGTGCTTTGGCAACAGAATAGTAGCCATGCCAAGCAGCACAGTGCAAAGGAGTTTCTTCTTCCTATCAATAATGACAAATCAAAATAAAAAACAGCTGAAACTATGTGCTAGCAGTGCCCATTCCTCAGCTTGTACTGTAAAACCAGAAGAAGGGGAAAGAAAAGAAATCTGTCTATTAAAGTTAAATCCTATAAAATGATTTAGCATCACTATAATTTATTAAACTAACTTTCTCAATGTGGGCGTACTTCACCCTGACACACACAATGATTGTGATAACTCAATAGCTTCTCTTAAGCATCTGGATTCCAGGAATACAGATTTCTCAGTACAAAACAGAACAGTGATACCTGACTTGCCTGCAAATACTGGCACCACTGTCTTGCTGTTTCCATGCAACTGAAGCTAATTATTTACCTAGGTTCTCTCATTTGAAAACACGTCCTCATTCATATGGAACTATTTCACTTATGTAGGGATTAGGCAAGTGGTTGAAACAAAAAATTTGGAGTGAACTCCAGTATTCAATTTCCAGATCTGAGTGTGATTTGCCTTCCACAAGTTATTTAAGATTAAAGATTTTAAAGCATACTTAGTAACAGAGGGTCCTGTGGCACCTTTAAGACTAACAGAAGTATTGG